GCTCAGATAGCCCATGCAGGCTATCTGAAGGGTCCGCGCAGACATGTAGCGCAGACCCCCCCACCAAAATTTAGGCAGGAAGTGAATATGAAATAGAGCACGAGCTGACCCAATATATACTCAAGATTCGAATTCAGGTCTGTGTTTCAGCAGTTATGGGTTGCTCACGTAGCTAGGGCCTATTGGTCACTGCACGTGACTCTTAGGGCTTGGCTGCACTACTCAGTGTGTACTAAGTTAGAATGAATATTTTGGAGAACGTGGAATAATACGCCATCGTTTTAATTTTTTCTTGTTTTTCCTTTTTCTCATTTTCCATTCTTCTTGTTGTTCTTTTTTCCTCGTTTTTCTTCTCTTAGGAATACGTGCAGTGGCCCTAAGGGCCTTTACTAAGTTAGAATGAATCTTCTGCAGAACGTGGAATAATACGCCACCACATTTTTTGTCTTTTCTTGTTTTTCTTTTTTCTCATTTTTCATTTTTCTTGTTGTTCTTTTTTTCTCGTTTTTCTTTTCTTAAGGATACGTGCAGTGGCCCTAAGGGCCTTTACTCACCAAATGCACAAAAGACAAAACATATGGTGGCGTATTATTCCACGTTCTGCAGAAGATTCATTCTAACTTAGCACATTTCGTGAGTAGTGCAGCCAAGCCCAAGTGCAGCCAAGTCCTAAGACTCACGTGCAGTAACCAACAGGCCCTAGCTACGTGAGCAACCCATAATTGTTGAAACATAGACCTGAAATCGAATCTTGAGTATATATTGGGCCAGCTCGTGCTCTATTTCATATTCACTGCCTGCCTCGATTTTGGTGGGGGGGTCTGCGCTACATGTCTGCGCGGACCCTTCAGATAGCCTACATGGGCTATCTGAGCTGTGTTAGGGGGATTCCCTCACCCCCTCGAAAAAAAAAGGACCTTACACACACACGCACACACACACGTACACACACACACACACACACACACAAATTCACAGACACACAATGTTCTATTTTTTGTTTTTTTTTTCCTGTTTCGCCTGGGGCTTTGGCCCACAGCCCCCCCCAAGCACGGCCGTCGCTCCCCACGCTGCCCACAGCCCCCCCAGGCACCGCTGCTGCTCCCCACACTGCCCAAAGCACCACCCCACCCCGCCCACCTCCCTGCGCGAACGCGTCAAACGCGTTCACGCGCGTTCAGTGAACACACGTTCACTGCATTCATAAGTTGACTGTGAAACCCACGTTCAATAAACGCGCGGTAACATAGTCTGGGTGGATGCTTGTAGTGATGAGGACTGTTGTTGTTCCTCGCGTCGTAGTTGTGTCTTTTCTTTCATGGTTTCACCATACCTTTCTTTTCGCCGCGTTTCTGGCGATTGGGGGGCTTGGGGTGGGGGAGTGGAGGTGGTGTGGTGGCGGGTGGCGGTGGTTAGGGCGGTGCGCAAGTCTGCTATATCAGGTGGGGGAGGTAGGCGGTCGGGAGCCCGGTGTGGTGTTTATGTTCACGTACGTATCCATGTTTGCACGTGCTTAAAAATATTTGGTTACTCTCCACGAGCGCTTCTCGAAGCGCTCAATCGATTTCTCAAGTACAAGAATGTGTTTTTCTTTTGGACTTGTGTGTGATGTCGTCTTCTTGTGTCTGGTTGTGTCCTTCTCAACGACGGGTTTGTTTTATTCTCACGTGTATGAGATTTATGTCACGTATCTCGTTTATGCTTGTTCGCATTTCCAATTTTAGATCGTCGTTGCGTTGTTGTTCCACACACGATTTGCATGCCACAAAAAAAGGAAACGAGTTCATCTTGTCACATTTCGGTCCTTTCAGCAACAACATCGTCATCACACGTTTT